TGAAGGAACTGTGCGCGTGCACGCGCAATTCAGGTTCGGTCAGAGATTAACTCGGCTTAAAAGTTAGCAAATTTGCACGGCGTTTAAGAAACAACATGGTCGGATGATCGATGGCCGGTTTCCCCCGGAAGAGCAAATGGAACAGAAAATGGGAAACGAAAGAGCGATAGGCCAGCGATGGATTTTGTAATGTTTGGATTGCAGGCAACGCTGGAGAGCATTCGCGTGTGTGGAAACGGGACATCGCTATCGGTCGAGTGGCCAGGTAATTCGAGTGTGACGTTCCAGAGTATCGACGCGCCCGTCGATGTTTGCTATTACATCGTCTTCGCCGACGTAAGTGCCGTATGATCGATTTGATCCGCCTCGGCGCGATACCACCGTCTTGAATTAACGCGAGATTAACTGGAAACGCAGCGTGATCGATGCTATAGTTGCTGCTGAGACTTGAAATTGTTCGTACAGTGGAAGGAAAATGACGTAACTGTGCCGACGATAATGAAAAATTGTCAACTGTTTGAAATTGTTTGAGAAGAAGAAGAACAAGAAGAAGATCGTGATTAGGTTCCGGTTGGTCTCGTTTTCATATGGATTCGAATTTTTGAATTCCTCTCCTCCCCCCCTCCCCCCTCCGAGTAATTCAACTCATTCGAATTCGAATCTGATTTTCCAGTAACTCGATAGTCGAGTTTTTCTAATTTTCCAATAATTCGGTATTCGAGTAATTCGATAGTCGAGTTGTTCTAATTTTCCAATAATTCAGTATTCGAGTAAATCGATTTCCCAGTAACTCGATAGTCGAGTTTTTCTGATTTTCCAATAATTCGATATTCGAGTAACTCGATAGTCGAGATTTTATAATTTTCCAATAATTCAGTATTCGAGTAAATCGATTTTCCAGTAACTCGATAGTCGAGTTTTTCTAATTTTCCAATAATTCAATATTCGAATTCTTTAATTTATCAATAATTCAACGATCGAGTATATTTCCAATAACATGAATTTCCTAATATTCCAATAATCCAATAATATTCCAATTATATTTAATAATCCAATAATATTCCAAACGATCGAATATTAGAATTTTCCAGTAATCCAAAATAAGAATTTCCTAATTTTTCAGTAATCCAACATTCGAATTTCCCAATAATTCGAAATTCAAATTTCTCAATTTTTCAATAATTCATCCTCAAATTTTCCAATATTCCAATAATTCAAAGATCGAGTATCCGAATTTCCCAATAATTCTCAACATTCGAATTTTCTAATTTTCCAATAATTCACATTCGAATTTTCTAATTTTCCAATAATTCGAAATTCGAAATACCTAATATTCCAATAATTCAATGATCAAACATTCGATTTTCCCAATAATTCGACATTCGAATTGTCTAATTTTCCAGTAATCCGATAATCGAATTTTCTAATTTTCCAATGATTCGACATTCGAATTCTCTAATATTCCAATAATGCAACGATCGAGTATCCGAATTTCCAAATAATTCGACATTCGAATTTACTAATATTCCAATAATTCAACGATCGAGTATCCGAATTTCCCAATAATTCTCAACATTCGAATTTTCTAATTTTCCAATAATTCACATTCGAATTTTCTAATTTTCCAATAATTCGAAATTCGAAATACCTAATATTCCAATAATTCAATGATCAAACATTCGATTTTCCCAATAATTCGACATTCGAATTGTCTAATTTTCCAGTAATCCGATAATCGAATTTTCTAATTTTCCAGTGATTCGACATTTGAATTCTCTAATTCCAATAATTCAATAATCGAACATTCGAATTTCCCAATAATTCAACATTCGAATTTTCTAATTTTCCAATGATTCGACATTCGAATTCTCTAATATTCCAATAATTCAATGATCGAACATTCGAATTTTCCAACAATTGAACATTCGAATTTTTTAATCTTCCAATAATGCAACGATCGAGTATCCGAATTTCCCAATAATTCAACATTCGAATTTACTAATATTCCAATAATTCAACGATCGAGTATCCGAATTTCCCAATAACTCAACATTCGAATTTTCTAATTTTCCAGTAATCCGATAATCGAATTTTCTAATATTCCAACGATTCGACATTCGAATTCCCTAATTTCCCAACAATTCAGCATTCGAATTTTTTAATCTTTCAACAATTAAACATCCAAGTTTCCAATTTTCCATTTTCAACACACTAAAAGAAAAAAAAAAAGAAAAAGAAAGGAAAATATTATTTGTTACAGCTGTTTCCGGTGCTGGTGATGCTAGTCATGATAACTTGCGCCGTCTACCAGATTTTAACGTCGGTGTTCAAAGTAGCCATACTGAGTCTAGTAGTCGCTTGCTATTTAGCCATCAGTATCTACGAAGCTATACAGGAGAGGGACGTGGAATTGACTGGAAGATGGCTGGCAGGAGTTTTAGTGGTTTTCTTTATGGCGTGTCTCATCGCTCATTCCCAGCACACAGAAGCCACTTACAGGTAATAGATTTCACACACAAACGATACCATCACACAATCAAACCAGCAGCTATGTTTCATTATAATATAATACACGTGCACGTCGATAATATCTCTTTTCATAAAATTTCATAAAATCGTTCGAGCGAAGTCTAAACGAAGTGAAAACGACGTGTTTTAGAAAACAAAACTCTTTACCTTCATAACCACAGTGTTTGATAACGAGATTCGGCGATGTATATTTTCTGGAAGGAAATTGCATTCCTCTGAAATTCTATTTTTCGTCTATCTCCTCCTCGAATTGGGAAAAACTATTAACGAGAAAATCACATTTTTGTTGACAAATGCAGACTAGAATTTTTATCGAAAAAAAAAAAAAAAAA